AGCACAGCATACCAGAGATAACGCACGTTCCTCCCTTTAATCATTGTCTGTTCTGAGATGTGGCTGGTCTGGTCAGTCTGATGCCAATCTGCCCTGCAGATACCTCCCCACCGTCAAGGTCACCTACTAAAACCTTCCCCCACCCTTACGAGATTCTTTATCATGGTAAGGCACCTGTGTAAAACCAGAAAGCAATCTGAGTCCCCAGGAACATGTGGCTGGTTAGAAACGGAGGAAGAGGAGAATACAAACACAGCAGCAAATTAAAGAATAAAGGGAATACTGTAGCTCCTGCCTTATTTCAGAGAAAGATGTAATTTAGACTACAATCAAAACTGCCACAGCATCTCCACTTTGCCACTTAGTAGCACTACAAACTGCAGGGCACCTACACACAGGTTTTAAGTTTGCTTCAGATCACACACAGCCCTGACTCGAAACCTCATTCCCTGTCTGAGAAGACTGAGATATGAATAGATTTAACATCAGACCTAAATACATGTATCATCTCTCACGCAATTTGAGATAGTGAATGCTTGGAATTGAATCACCTGAAGTATGAAATAGTCTCAAAAAGAAAAGCTTAAAAAAAAAAAGCTTAAAAATTGACCTTTTGCGCTGCTTAAAGCAAGTGAAATATTTACCATTCTCAGAGTCAGGAGTGAGATAAACAATTGCATCTAAAGGAAACAGGTCCAGGTAACTTTCTTCAGTTGTATCCATCTAAGAAATGCAAGACAAGAAGAGAAGCCACCCATCAGCCCAAACTCCATCTGCTAGAGCAAAACCCACTCTCAGACACAGAAATGTATTGGAACTGACAATACTGCATTAGGTGTTTGAACTCCTACAGACAGAATGGGGTTTTTTTAAATTGCAACATGTTTCTATACGGGCCCTGAACAATACATATCTCAAAATCCATTCAGTTCTCACCAAAATCCCGAGATGTGGTTTGAGGAAGGGAGATCAGCAATAATTACCTAATTATAAATGAGATTCTAATTCTTGAGAGATTCAGGAATCTCCACTTCAGGTGGTTTTCCCCCCTCACTGCTACCACGTGCAGCCCCACGGGCGCTGCAGAACGCATAGCTCCATGTCACTGCCATAACCTGCATGTGTGGGTCTCGTGCTTGAGTCAGACCAAGCTGGGTACAAACACTTGGGACAGGAACACGTGCCTTGCCAAAGCCTGACCAAGCTTACGTGTCTGCCTGTCCCCAGTATCACAGGTCTCTCTGCAGAAGTAGCACCTGGAGGAGGAATTCTCCTCCTGCAGGCAGGAGAGACACGAGCTCTAGCCTTGCACATCACCCCATTATCTGCCAGTTCTTGTCTCCTGTCAAAGGGCAAGCAGATCTGACCTTAACCACTATCACTGAACTGCGTTCCCACCATCAAAGCCCACCTCAGTCTGTCTTGGGTCAATGCTGAGGGCCAGCACTGTGGCTGCAGGGTGCTGCGAACCTTGAAAGCACTGCAGGCGGAGATCCTTACCAAGTAATTGGAGAAGCCGTCATTCATGCGAAAACACTCCTCATAGATCAGCGAGCCCACCACAAACTCCGTCAGACAGAACCAAAACGGCTTCTGGGCCCGCCTGTTTGC